CTTTTTTTTCTTCTTCTTATGGCCTGCCACGTGGTAGGCCCTGATAGGACAAACGTGGAGGTCTCACATGGAGACTGATGGATACTTTGTTACAATATTAGAGTTCTTTTTTTTATTTTGTTTATTGTGTGGGCTGCTTTGAATTAGGCCTAAGTTTAAATCCGATTGCTACACCATTTTATTACTAAGTCAATAACTTGCACACATAGCCCATTAATTATTATTGATTTAATCATTTATTTTCTTGTTAACTAATTCAAGTATTTTTAACCTTAATTTTAGTTAACTAGTTTTTTCCCCCAATTTTGAGCACCTAATTCATCTAATCCCATCGAAAATATAAAGAAAATATTAGGTTTTGGGCCATTGCATTTATTTTATTTTGTTTAATTATTTTGTTTAAATTCCCTTATTTAGTAAAAACAATTAGTTAACTTATTTTATAAAAACACTAAATATGTATTTACTTTATTAAGTTAATAATTAGCTTGTAGATAATTCTAAAATTTTTAGTTAATCAAATTAATTCAAGCATTTTTTATTAATTAATTTAAACATTCTAGATAATAGGATGTCCATCTTCGAGTGATTAAATTGGTCGACACATCGTTCACCCGTTTATTATCAAAAATTAAACAATTAAAATACACGCAACTTACCAAATTCACCATCCACGAATGACACATGACCAATATCTGACCACGTGATGAGGAAACTATATCAGACTCCTCCGCTCTATGTAATATCACACTCGATCAATCAACTTAAAACAACTAACCACCAATTCAAATCAATTTTCCACTAACATAACAAATACTACAAGATATTTTCGAAAAATGATTAAATAGAATCACTTTCGAAATTAACTACGAACTACGTCTATGCTCACACAATTTTCAACCCAGACAAGGTTCAAGGATAATTTCGAAAGCAATTCTACACAGTCCATAAAAAAACAAAACCGTGAACTACGAAATGAGACTCTGATTTCTCCTAAGAGTATATGTAGGCATACGATCAAAAATCGTGGCGAGTCTCCCTATTTAAATTTCAAACCCTTTTCCCCTAATAAAACTTAAAACCCTATTTCCTAAAAATTGCGCTTCTATCCCTAGTATCCTTGTGAACAAGGTAGATGAGGGGTGCCTAACACCTTCCCGTCGTCTAGAATCGAGTCCAAAAACCTAGAATCTCTAACTTTTTAGGGTTAACCTTTATATTCCCTTCCTTAGGATAAAAATTAAGGGTGGCGACTCTCGATTACAAAACCAGTTGCAACACCATCATACCCTCACTTATCCTTCAGTAATGACCATAATACCCTTATTTTCTCTACATCACATATTATTCTATTTATTTAAATCCAAATATTCTAAATAATCACTATTAAATCTAAATAATTATAACTAATTATTTAAATTCTAAATCCTCTTATTATCCCATCCTACTCCACACAATTCATCATCTTAAACATCTTATTCATCAAGTCATCGCTATTGCATCACAAATGTATAACGAATACACATCATCTACCGTCACAGGGACTAACACAAAGCACCAAAATATCATATATACCAAACACTTCACAAAGACTCATATATTTACGCTAAATTAATTAAATAATTAATTAATCTAGAATTTGGGGTGTTACAAGCATCACTTTTACTCCTTGTGCAAAATCGGCCCGCGAGCACCCCCGTTTCGTGGGCACATCTTAAAGTCATCACTCCTCTGCCCAGAAGCAGCAATTTGAGGGGCTCCTGTTCTGGACTTGCCTAATGACTAGAATTGGCCCAATCCGCTTCTACCCTTGGCACAACCCAATAACATCGGCCTAGCATTTCTGGTCGACCACACCCCAAGAAGCGCGACCAATAATGCCCGATATGCACACCTGCCCAAGTCAGCAACTATCTCTCCATCTGCCCGACACGAGTCGAGATGGCAACCAGGAAACGTCCAAAATGCCTCTCTGCCCATAATCTACATTTTCCTCTGAACAAACTCCTAGTTACGGGCATGTCTGCCCATTTTGACCAAGTCTTGACAGTTACCTATTTTTGTGAACCAGCATATCTAGACCCAAAAATAGGGACCAATGGCTACGCGCTGGGGGAACTATATAAACCCTCACACATGTGAGGGCCATGTATCTAATATTCAAACCTTAAACCCTAATATTCCGCTTGTATCTCTTTGCACCCATTCTTACTTGATCGTCAGAGTGCCTTGCAGGTACAACCCCCTTTTTCTCCTCAACTTTCCAGCAAATCAGACGTCATCCTTCAGCCTATTTGCAGGTTCTGATCAATCGGTAAGATCAAAATCCTAGGACCCTTAGAGGGACTTTTTGTGAATGTGTTATTCCGTAAATACGTCTCCTGTAATTCATTCATTGGTTAATTAATGAGTAATCAGTTGGACGAAAATATGTGAAACCATGAGTAATGTGGACTCATTAAGAGGGATCGGTAAGTTCATAGTTGATTATGAATAAGTGTGCAATAAGGCTTCATGGGAAACTATGTGAATACGCAAGAGAATGTCGTAAGACCTTGTGACTAATATCGATGCTAAAAGATGTGAAATGGAGGTCTATGACCCGTGCCAAGTCAATGAGATAGACGGTGGGCGGGTAGAGATGCTCCAATTAACAACGATTATTCGTGACTCGTGCCAAGTCAATGGATAAATGGTGGGCGAAGATAGACTTTCCATTAGTGACGATTGTTCGTGTCTCGTGCCAGGTAAATAAGATGTACGGTGGACGGGGAGAGACATTCCTCACGTAATATAGATGGCTGTCTTGAGTATTGAATCTCCATGGTTGGTACTGATCGAGTGGTACATATTTGGTAGTTTTGAGTACAACGCGAGATAATCGTATGACACCCACATGTCTCGTGATCTCCTTGTGTGAGATCGAGAAATATTTAGTTAAAGGCTAGTATGAGAACCTTAACCGAGTAGACTCATAACATAAGGAGCTTCACTGAGATAATTCATCTCACTCCATTCCTTATTATATTTTAGATTATCAAGTTCAAGGCAAGGACCGAAGAGGATGTGATCAGTGGCATGAAGATGTTGCGCCTAATTATATATATATATATATATATATATATATATATATATATATATATATATATATATATATATATATATATATATATATATATATATATATATATATATATATATATATATATATATATATATATATATATATATATATAATATAGGTTTAACTATACGAAGGTCTTTGTCTATTTCAAAATAGATTCTTGTATTTGTTAAAAATTATATATTTATTTATTTACTTATTTATTTATTTAGTGTCTTTTTGTATTGGCAAGAGATCATATTTAGTGGTGTATAAGGTGATGAGAGAGCAAAATCACGTGAAATTAGAATTTTTGAGGCTTTTAAGTGTGTATCATATGTATATGCAATCTATCTTTTCTCATGTTAGGGATGAGACATTTATAGATGCCAACGAGCCAATTGGGGAAAGTTACTTCCACCCCACTACTAGATTATATGAAAAAATGAGTTATTCCTCCTTTGACCCGTTCTCACAATTCATTATAATGGGACACAACATCTTCAACATCTACTAAACGAGTGAAAAAGAGTTCGGATGGACTAAGTCTAAGGGAAAGGGTTATCACTAAGAGTTCGGGTGATGAATCAATCAGAAGCTTGGTCCTTGTTACTATAGACCCTTTAAGAGTATGGAAATGATAGGAATGATAATATATCATCTCCAGTTGCTTGTTACAATTAGAATCCACCCCGTAATACATGTCTCATTAGTAAAAAAAAAGGCTATTGGAGACTATCGAGTCAAAGCTTATTTGCCTCAAGGTTTAAATTATGTTCTTATTGAACCTTATGAACCTGCAACAGTGTTAGTTGGTCGCACCATTAAGAAAGACGTAACTAATGTTAAGTAATGGCTAATTCACTAAAAATATAAAGTTATTGAGGGAACAACGTATGAAAAGGAGTTTGTAATGTACACATAATTTCTTGCCCCCAGTCTTAAGGACTAGTCTGTGTCTCACTCAAGGAGACAATAACGATGAAGTTAGTGATGAAAATATGAGAAATTATTACATGTGTAGTTCATAAGGTGTTCGTAAGACATGAAAAGTATATATTAGAAAAAATATGAATAAAGAGAAAGATGAGATCACATGTAAGGGAGGGGCGACCCGAGTAGTTTGTAGTTTATGTGACAGTTATGCAAAATCATGTATGTTATATGAGACATGTTAGCGGGGGAGATAATTTTGCAAAGTCTAATATTTTATGAGATTGGTTAGAGTGAAGACAATTATGAAAATATATCATATAGGATAAATTAATGGGAAAAAATCTGAGAGAAAAATATGTGAGCTTGACTTGGGAATAGAAGAGTTATTTTCTTTATTCTATTTTCTTTTATTCATTTGTTTTTATCATTTTATATTTGCATATTATTTCCTTGCAACAATTATGACCTATCAGAAAGCTTAGTTGGTAATGCGTAGACATAAATAATTATTTTTAAAAATATTTGTTGTGAAAAAAATTTAATTAAAAAAAATAATTTTCATAAATAATAAAAAATTAACTTATATAATTTTTTTAATTATTTTATCTTATACTCTCTCTGTTTTAGTTATTTTTTAAAATTTTTAAATATCAAATGTATTAAATTTTATATATAGATTAAATAAATTAAATATTTAATAAAATAAAAAATGAGTTTTGTTTATAATATGAGACGAGGGACTAACTTATATGTAAAAGAAAATATTTTGTTCAAAATTGTTATGGGCCAAAATGCCAATTCTAAAGCGTTTCAACGAAAATAGATCCGATTCGAAACGGTTATAGAGCTCCGTTATATACAAAAAAAAACCATATTAGGGTTTTGCCTCTCGCAATTTTCACTCTTCATCTTCAACCCTAGGAGTCATCTCTAAGGACCCCATTCTACAGAATCGTCCAACATGGTTTGCTACATTTTCTTCTTGAAACTAGATCCAATCCTTTTCTGACTTCGTTATTCTGCAATTTTGTTAGCTTCATTTTTCTCTGTTATCGCACTTCAATTTTGTTTTGTGTATGATTTATTGTTATAGGGTTTGTTTGTATGTGTTCTTGATTTTGATTATGGTGTGAATGGTTAAAACGATGTTTGAGGTTTTTTGGTTAGAAAATGGTTGTGGTGATTGATTTGAAGAAAATTGGTTTTTGAATTTGTTATGTTATGATGTATGGAGCTGTATATAGATGTTGGTGGATCGTATTCTAACAGTTTTATGTTTTCAATTGTTGATGGAAATGGATTCACAAATGAATTCAGTAGTTGAGGTTCTGAATGTCTAGCTTATTCTACTAGCTGTGGATCAAATGATGGGATAGAGTTTGGTCAGTTTTCTAAAATTTGTTTTTATGATGCAATGAGCTGTGTTTTTGGAAGTCTCAATACCTAAGATTCGTCCAGCTTTTTGAACTTACTTCCAAAGTATGGATTGATTAGTTTAAATTTTATATAACTTTGTTGTTTATTGGGAAATAGTTACATGTTTTTGTGATGGAATTGGTTCCAAACACTCTTGATCATATCAGTTTGCCATTGGAATTAATGTATGGGGTGTAGTGTAGGGATGAGACTCTGTCACTTAGTTGTTCTCGGCGTATTTAAACTCATTTGTTTCCGCCTGTTTGGTTTCAATCTCAAGCATGCCTTGTTATCCTCAGTTTTGTTTTTAATGTTCTATATTGATCTCTCTATCTCCATGCATTTTGCGATTATTTGTTAGTTTTTACAATTATGTTGCAATGTTTCATTGGCTTTGTCTAATTGTTAGGAATTTTGAACAGCTTTAAATATAAGCTCGTTCCAATATTCTAATTTGTAGTAACTTTTTTCTGGTATATTTCAGGCTAGAGGATTGAAGAAACACTTGAAGAGACTGAATGCTCCAAAACATTGGATGCTTGACAAACTTGGTGGAGCTTTTGTATGTCTATTATTCACATTTCATTAGTCAGTTGTATTATTTCATGTGATTTTTATTTGCATATTCTGTTTGAATTTGTGCTCAATTAGCTTTGATATACAGGCACCAAAGCCATCATCTGGACCCCACAAGTCAAGGGAGTGCTTGCCTTTGATTCTCATCCTGAGAAACAGACTAAAATATGCTCTAACGTACAGAGAAGTTATTGCCATTTTGATGCAGCGCCATGTTCTTGTTGATAGCAAGGTTAGGACAGACAAGACATATCCTGCTGGTTTCATGGGTATGTGAATTTTCAAATTTGATTCCTGCAGCATTGTTAAAGTTCCAAGTCATTATTGTTTTTAGCATTTGGACAATATTGTCCGTTTTCCGGTATTATTTCTTCCAACAGTTGTGATGGAGTATCATACAATACTACAATTCAGTAAAACAGCTTTTGATTTTGCATTTTCCTTGCTGATTAAGTTTTCTGATCTTTTTCTGTGACCAGATGTTGTTTCTATTCCCAAAACAAATGAAAATTTCCGTCTTTTGTATGACACCAAGGGCCGTTTCCGTCTCCACTCTGTGAGAGACGATGAAGCAAAGGTTAGTGTTGTCTTTCATAATCTCTTTGATTTCAACTCTGATAATGAAATTGCCCTATCTATTTTGCAGTAAAATTTGTGTTTTATCTTCTATATAATCACTCACTCACTCACTGCATAAGATTGTTTTAAGACTGAATGGACTAATTATGAACTTGTTATATCTGCAAATCAAAAATCTTGTTTGAAGAGGTGTTTTAAAGTCTCACGCATCGGAATTTCATACAACATTGACATGTCAAAATACATACAATGACTTCAATTTTCTCAAACGATTGCCTTTATGTATGTGTTTGTGTCTGTGCTTCATAAGGGTGGATTTTTGGGCTGACTAGTCAAAATAGTACTTAGCAAGTCTGTTGAAATGCTAGCCAGTCCTTATATTAGTATGTTTCAATTATTCTTTCTCTCTAGAGTTCTTATATTATTTCTTTTTGCAGTTTAAGCTCTGCAAGGTTCGATCTGTTCAATTCGGACAGAAGGGTATTCCCTATCTTAACACCTATGATGGTCGTACCATCCGCTATCCGGATCCACTAATTAAGGCCAATGACACCATCAAACTTGACCTTGAAAACAACAAGATCACTGATTTTATCAAGTTTGATGTGGGGAATGTTGTCATGGTTACCGGAGGAAGAAACAGAGGCCGAGTTGGTGTCATCAAGAACAGAGAAAAGCACAAAGGAACATTTGAGACTATCCACGTCCAGGACGCAAGTGGTCATGAGTTTGCCACTCGGTTAGGCAATGTCTTCACTATTGGCAAAGGAACAAAGCCCTGGGTGTCTCTTCCCAAAGGCAAAGGTATCAAGTTGACAGTTATCGAAGAGGCTAGAAAGAGGCAAGCCGCTCAAAATGCAACTGTTGCTTAATTTTTTCATAAAATTATATTATATTGCTAGAAAATTTTAGTTACTTTTAGACGAGCGCGGTTTTTTGTTAAGTGACTGAGCAGAGTTTTGGTTTTCATTGCAGTAGTGCATTTCTGTACTTTCTTCATGTTATTTCAGTTTAATTTAATTATACTTTATGAATATTATGGTTACATATTCTTTGAGTTTTCAATTGTTGTGATGTGTTAACATGGTTGATCATTGCACAAGCTATGCCTGTCAATACACAGATGAGTCTGTATTGGTTTTACTGGGTTGCTGGTTCCAACTTGAGTTAAAACATCAAGTTTTTGCTATGCCTATAGCACAATATTTCAAAGGGTGAAGAAAACTAGTATCATGACATAATGAATTGAAAAGAATTTGACATATCAGGGGCCTTGATCAGTTAATTTTAAAAATGAAGGAAACTTGAAATAGAATAATCGAAGACTAATCGGCATATGATTTTTCTATTAAACATTCCGTTGGAATATCATCCGATGTAGCAGTTGGGCATCACAATATCGCAATTGAGGTCACCAAATTTGTTTCCTAACTATGACAGTAAAGATAAACACGACATATAATTGACGAAGGGCTGTTGGCTTTTTAGAGTGGATATCATTAAATTGAGAATAATTGGTTTTGAGGGATAAGACAGTAAAGATAAACACGACATATCAATTGACCAAGGGCTGTTGTCTTGGAGGAATTTGAAAAACCAGTTCGTCAGTTCAGTCACGGCTTCACATCGACATCCAAAGACTGAAGCGGCCCTCAAGGCGATCGTCTAGAGACACAACAAGAATTTATTGATCAGTTCAACCGCGAGGCCCTTCAGGTCCCCTGCATCTATCATATGAAGAGACACCTGCTCGAGAGGGGACTCCTCCCGGGCACGGAGTTCAGAAAAGTCGTTGGCATCGAACCACCGCAGACATTCGATGCTCTCCTCGATAAGGCTAGATCCTACATGGACTATAAGAAGATGGAAGCGGCCAACAGAGCCCGGGACCCAATGAATCATGGATCGACCAACAATCCACGACAAGATTCCGGCCCTCCTCGATAAACTAGCGAGAAGAGGAGGGATGACAAACCACGAGATCCTCACGAGAAAAGAGGACCCTCAGGGAGGTTTACCGAGTACACTTCGCTGACAGCTTCCCGCGAGCGCATCTTGGCGGAGTGCGCTAATACTGATTTCAAGGACGGCGGCGTCAAGCGTCCTCGCTCTGCTCCTGCTAAGCCTGGGGCTGATCGGAGCAAATACTTCCAATATCATCGAAGTCATGGACACCTAACTGAAGACTGTGTCCATCTCAAAGATGCTATTGAGACCCTCATCAAAGGGGAAGACTCGGGTAATATCGGCGCAGCGACGCTCCTCGTCGAGATGCCCGCAACACAAAGGAGATTGAGGAGGATGTCCGACCATCAGACGAGACGATCCCCATCCAAACAACATTCTCCGTTACAATACCAGAGGACTTCTATGTCCCCAACGATATCGAAGAGCCTCTGTCGAAGCACAATAGGTGGGAAAGGTTCCCCCAGCCATGGTCATAAATGGTGGGAGATTCAATGATATAATTATAAACTCCGCGAAGAGGAAATTGGACGAACTGGTCGATACGCTCCCCCTGCAAATGGTGACATTCGAGAGGGATAAGGGCAGATCAGAGCCTATTACCTTCTACCTCAAAGAATTGCCCGGAGGGCCCCCTAACCCAGCCATCCCTCTTCTGGTTAGGGCGAGAATGGCTAACTTTAACGTTCATCGCGTTTTGGTCGACGAAGGGAGTTTCATCGACGTAATGTATAGTCAACTCTTCTGAACCCTGCATCTCGACAACTCTCACCTTTCACCATACATGGGGTCTGACCTGCAGGGCTTTAACGGCTCAACCTCCAATCCGTGGGGGTACGTGGATCCCTTTGTCACCTTCGGCGAGGATACCGCCACCAGGAAAGTCAAGGTGCACTTTCTGGTCATCGACTGCTCATCTCTTTAAAACTATATCCTGGGGAGACCAACACTGGCCAAACTGACCGCGGTTCCCTCCACCGTCCATCTGAAGATGAAATTCTACACAAAGAAAGGACGCGTCCCCACCATCCAAGGCGACCTAGCAGCTTCTCGAAGATGCTTCAACGCAACGTCAAAGGGACAAAGTACACTCGACACTAGAGCACGACCCGCAAAGAGAGCCACAACAGCATGACCAGAGCCACATCCCGTCAAGACGGAAGAACAGAGAGCTCCTCCAAGGTCGACTCCATATCACTGGACACCCGCTTCGACCAAGATGAAGCACCCAACGACGATTAGGGACTCCTCCGACCAATTCCAGATGGATACTTTGAGCTTGTCCCCCTCGGTGAAGACCCGTGCAAAGGGGTGAAGATCGACATCATACTCCCCGACCTGGAGAGGAAGCAGATCAAGGCTTGTTTAAGAGAAAACACATATATATTCGTGTGGAGCATCGCGGAGATGCCAGGACTCGACCACGAGGTCGTCTGTCACCACCTGACCATCGATCTATCCGCTAGGGCAATAGTACAACATAGGCGTATGCAGTCCCTCGAGAAAACATAGGCTGTTGAAAAAGCTGTAAAAGACCTCCTAGAGGCAAATTTTATTTCTTAAGCCCGATATTTAACCTGGCTGTCAAATGTTATACTTGTTAAAAAGAATAATGGAAAATGGCGTATGTGTGTTGACTATACCGATCTTAACCGGGCATGCCCCAAAGATGCATTCCCTTACCTAATATTGACATGCTGGTCGACTATAAAATTTCATCTTTCATGGACGCCAATTCGGGTTACAACCAAATTCCGATGGCAATGGGCGACAAGCACTGCACCACTTTCACGACCAGCTCGGGCAATTATTACTACAACGTAATGCCCTTCGGTCTGAAAAACGCAGGGGCGACATACCAGCGGATGATGAATAAAGTCTTCTGCAACGAGATTGGTGATATGCTCGAGGTATACATGGACGACATAATCGTCAAATCTCAAGCAGAAACTGACCATGCTGACCACCTTAAAAAGGTCTTCGCCTAAGCGAGACAATGTAGAACGAGGTTCAATCCCGAGAAGTGCATGTTCGGGGTTAAAACAGGCAAGTTCCTCAGTTTTTACCTAACAAAACGGGGAATTGAAGCCAACCCCGATAAATGGCGAGTGTTCTCCGAGCTCCCTACACCTAATTCAAAGAAATCAATACAAGTGCTGAACAAAATGCTCACCTCGCTCTCCCGCTTTGTGGCGAAATCCGCACAACACCTCATTCCATTTTTTAAACTTCTGCACAAAGAGGCCGCTTTCAAATGGACCGAGGAATGCGAGCAAGCCCTCCTCCATCTCAAGAAAAGCCTTTCGCAACCGCCCGTACTGTCGCGACCTATAGACGGGGAGATCTTGTTCTTGTATCTGGTTGTTTCTGTCGAGGCTGTGAGCGCGACCCTCATTCGCGAGACTCTTGACGGGAAAACGCCAGTATATTTCACGAGCAAAGCACTTCAGGGACCTGAGGTCAGGTACCAACAGATCGAGAAGGTGGCCTTGGCCCTCGTCAATGCAGCAAGAAGGCTCAGATATTACTTCCTGGCACACACGATCATCATACGGACATACCAACCCGTAATACAACTCTTAGGTCGACCAGACATGGCAGGACGAATGCTAAAATGGTCCTTGGAGCTTTCAGAGTTCAACATCCAATACGGAAGCAGGAAGGCCCTCAAGGCCCAAGCTCTGTCCGACTTTGTCACAGAGATGACAACTCACAACCCTCCCGCAGGGAAGGAGCACAAGTGGACCATCTTTGTCGATGGAGCTTCCAATTAAGACGGGAAATATAGCAGGAATCCTCCTCGAAAACTAGGAATGTGTAGTGATTGAGCATTCTCTCACTCTTTCCTTTCCGACCTCGAACAATCATGATGAATACGAGGCCTTGCTCATAGAATTAAGACTAGCCGAGGACCTTGGCGCCCGAGAGATATACATTTTCACTGATTCCCAACTTGTCGCATCTCAAGTTCAAGGGGGATACCGGGCTAAGAACAACAGCCCCATTGAATATTTTAACTTGGTCAGAGAACATATGAAAAAGTTTGACCACACAGAAATCACGCACGTGCCACGCGAACAGAACATGCGAGCCGACATACTTTTAAAGCTCGCGAGCACAAAGAAGAAAGGCGTGAACAAATCTGTCATACAAGAATCCCTTTCTCACTCGAGCATTGAGAGGTCCACTGTGTCGCCCGAAGTGAACACCATCAAGGACAACTCATGTTGGATGACCCTGGTATTCAATTTCTTGACGAAGGGGGAGCTTCCCGTAGATCAAAGAGAGGAGGCCACGACCAAACGACGAGCCTGCTCGTATGTGGTATTGGAACACAAGCTTTACCGTCGGGGATTCTTCGTCCCACTCCTAAAATGTGTCGAAGAGTCCGCAGTCCCCAAAATACTGCGGGAAATCCATGAGGGAATCAACGCCCAACACATGGGTGGAAGATCCCTAGCACGAAAGGCACTGCGAACAGGGTACTACTGGCCGACTATGCAACAAGATACCAAGGAGCATGTCAAGAAATGCGACAAGTGTCAGAGACACGCAGACATGCACCTCTCACCTCCACACGAGCTCACGGCCCTATCCTCCCTGTGGCCATTCGCATGGTGGGGGATGGATATCCTCGGACCTTTCATGCAGGGAACATATCAAAACAAGTTCCTCATCGTAGCCGTCGACTACTTCACAAAGTGGATAGAAGTCGGAGCTCTGGCCAAAATCACTTCATACAACATCCTCCATTTCTACAAGCGAAACGCGCTTTCCCGGTTTGGAATACTGCAAGCGCTCGTCACTAATAACGGGACACAATTCACCGATCAAAGTTTCCAAAACTTCATCACCAGGCTCGACACCGAGCAATATTTCACCTCGGTCGAACACCCCCAAACCAACG